TAAGACTGTTGAATCACAGACCTGTACCTCTGAAACAAATAATACATTATATGTTAAAAAAAAAAAAATAAGATAGCAGGAAGGGAAAAATGAAGGGGGGGAAATCGGAGGGAGAGACGAACCATGAGAGACGGTGGACTCTGAGAAACAAACTGAGGGTTCTAGAGGGGAGGATGGTGGGGGGATGGGTTAGCCTGGTGATGGGTATTAAAGAGGTCACATACTGAATGGAGCATTGGGTGTTACATGCAAACAATGAATCATGGAACACTACATCAAAAACTAATTATGTAATGTATGATTAACATAACATAATAAAATTTTTTTTTTAAATTAAAAAAAAAACTTCTTGTTACATAAATTTATATGTGCCTGAGTGATATTTAAATAACTTTCACTCTCTATACAAACCAAATGGAAGAAAAACAAAACTGAGAATTTTAAGGAATTGTCCTTAAGAATGGGGTTGGAGTTGGGGCATCTGCGTGGCTCAGTCAGTTAAAGGTCAGACTCTTGATTTCAGCTCAGGTCATGATCTCAGGGTTGTGAGATCAAGCCCCGCATCGGGCTCCACACTGGGTGTGGAGCCTGCTTAGGATTCTCTCTCCTCCCTCTGCCCCTCTCCTGCCCTCTCTTAAAAAAAAAAAAAATGGGGTAGGAGGTTAGAGGATGGGTCAGTTGGATCATTCAGTCATTTAGTAAGCATTTACTGTGTACCTACAATTTCACAAGCACTGTAAAAAATTCTGGGGAAAAACAGACAAGTAAAATATGGGCCTGTACTCAAGAAGCTTACATTCTAGTAGAATGAGACCAAAGCTATACATGTATAAGCTTCCTTTGGTGCTAGGGAAGAAGAAACTACAGGGAAGAGTGGGTACAAAGCAGTGAGCACTGTAGCCTGGAAGGGGAGGAAGAGGACAGCATTATGAAGTCTCTTGAAGGAATAGAGCCCTGAAAGCCCAGTGGGAATACAAAAGGATAGAAGGGGGCGCCTGGATGGCTCAGTCATTAAGCGTCCGCCTTCGGCTCAGGTCATGATCCCGGGGTCCTGGGATCGAGCCCCACATCGGGCTCCCTGCTCGGCGGGAAGCCTGCTTCTCCCTCTCCCACTCCCCCTGCTTGTGTTCCTGCTCTCGCTATCTCTCTGTCAAATAAATAAAATCTTAAAAAAAAAAAAAAAAAAGGATAGAAGGGCTAGTGAGAAACAAAAGAAGAAGCCAGAGATCCCACAGGAAGAGTGAGACACTCTAAATAACAGCTATCTGTGGGGTGGGAATGGGGAAAGTTGTTCTCTCCTTGAAAAATGAAAGGGTTGGAAATGAGAACAGAAAGGAATCAGAAGTATAAAAGATCTTAGGGGCACCTGGGTGGTTCCATCCGTTAAGCATCTGACTTCCACTCAGGGTCCTGATCTCAGAGTCCTAGAATCAAGCCCCAGTCAGCTCCCCTCAGCAGGGAGTCTGCTTCTTCTCCCTCTCCCTCTGCCCCTCCCCTGGCTCTTGCTCACTTGCTCTTTCTCTCTCTCAAATAAATAAATTTTTAAAAATCTTTAAAAGAAAAAGAAGAAGTATAAAACATCTTAGTGAAAAAAGTTTTCGCCTTCAGGTCATATGATCATTTAATCAAGAGAAAAAATACCATTTTTTTGATTATTTATGGGCTTGTAAGTAAAAAATACATTCTTGGTAAAACGAAAAATACGTTTTCTATCGCTTCATAATAAAGATAAGAGTTACCCTCCATGCATGTTAATGGCTGAAACAATGACAGAAATCTAAAACAATGACTAATCTAACAAATATTCACATTTGACTTAGAAATACACTATCAAATTTTTTACAACAAATGTACCACTTATTTAAAAGTAGTGCTAATTTTTGTAAAAATAACTTTAATCATTTGTCTGCATTTCTTATCAGTCCTTCAGGATGGACTCCTAGAAAAGGAATTGCCAGACCAAAGAGTTTGAATATTTTTAAAGCTTGGTACATTATTGGCTTAGGCTAAAGTTAAAACTAGATTGACTACATCAACGGAAGGTGATCAAGTAATATACATGGGTATTCAGTGTTGCTATAAACAATAATCAAAAATAAATACTCAAAAAAGAAAATCTAAAAGTGTATTACAAGTAGATCTGAGGCTTTGAATGATTGTGACTAAAAAGAAGTCAGGGTAAACTTTTGTTTAGGATGATAGGCTAATTAGTGTGTTTGTGTGTGTGTGCGTGTGAACATGTATGTGCATAAATACTGGATGTACATGCACAAAATAATGGACAAAGAAAAATACAAGTGGAAGAGTCCGTAATTTCTGAATGAGATAAAAAGAATGAAATCATTAAGTGAACTACTTATAAATAGGTACGTATAATTTATTTTATACCTCCCACAATTTTTTTTTCTTTATTTTTAAGATTTTATTTATTTATTTGTCAGAGAGAGCACAAGCAGGGGGAGCGGCAGGCAGTGCGAGAAGTAGGCTCCCTGCTAAGCAAAGAGCCCAATGTGGGACTCGATCCCAGGACCCTGGGATCATGACCTGAGCTGAAGGCAGACGCTTAACCAACTGAGCCACCCAGGCATCCCCTCCCACAATTTATATAGCAATAATTTTTCAATTTTAATAATCAGGTGCAATATTAGAGGAAAAACTCATACATTAAATAAAGATCAACAAATTGGTTTTTAATGTAGGTTAGGTTAGCCCTTTAGTTCTATAAATTAGGACTCTGCCCAGTACTTTTTTCATATACCTCCAGAAAGGAGTAACTAAAGCAGTTTAAGAAGTGACTCAGATTTTTCAAAACTCAAAGGACTTTGTCACCAATGAAGTTTCATGAAAGGCAAATCTGAAGCTATTAAAAGTCAAATCTCCACCTCACACCAGTCAGAACGGCTGGTATCAAAAAGACAAGAAATAACAAGTATTGGCAAAGACACGGAGGAAAGGAAATCCTCGCACACTGTTGGCAGGAATGTAAAATGGTGCGGCCCCTATGGATAACAGTATGGAAGTTCCTCAAATACTAAAAATAGAAGTATCATATGAGCCATAAGTCCAGTTCTGGGCATTTGCCTGAGGAAAATGAAAACACCAATTCAAAAAAACATATGTACACCTATGTTTGTTGCAGCGTTATTTCCAATATGTAAGATATGGAAGCAACTTAAGTGTCCATCTATAGATGAATTGATCTAGAAGATGTGGTATGGAATAGAATATGGAATACACAATGGAATATTATTCAGCCATAAAAAAGAATTAAATCTGGCCATTTGTGACAACACAGACCTAGACAGTATTATGCCAAGTGACATAAGTCAGACAGAAAGACAAATAACATATAATTTCATTTACAGTAGAATCTAAAAAAAAACAAAAAACAAAACAAGCAAGCAAACAAACAACAACAAAAAGAGAATCAGAGTCATAAATACAGAGAACAAACCAGTAGTTGCCAGAGGGGAGGGGGGTGGGGGGATAAGTGAAACAGGTGAAGAGGATTAAGAGGTACACACTTCTAATTATAAAAAAAAAGTCATGGAAAAGTACAACATAGAGAATATAGTCAATAATATTGTAATAACTTTGTAAAAAAAAGTCAAATCTCCTTAAAAACATGCTTTTTTGAGATTGCTGCATGGAAGTGTACAACAATCCAATTTATCACCAATTACCCATATATTCTCAAATATCCAAACATTTCCAAAGAATGTGGCCCCAGGGGCTCAAATATACTGATTTTAATTTGAGAAGTCAACCAGAATTCAACCTGTGCATCTTACATCCCTTGAAACACTGTTCTCTCCTTGCCATAGCAAAGAAGTAAATTCCTCTACCATAATTATAAGCAGAAAGTTTACATCTTACAGAACACTGAGCAGGAAGTTTGGCCTTTGAAACATTTCCCTTTGGACCACGGGGGCATGCAACAGAGAGGTGGAAGGAGCAGGTTTGAAAATTTGAGTTAGATTGCAAAGGCTAAAAGCTCCTCAGTCTTTAAATGATGCTCTCCCATGCATCTGGGTGGAGAGAAGCCAATGCTCAAAGTCTTCGTCTTTCAACAGTGAGTAGAAAAAATTCAACTTTTGAGTGATGTCTCAGAAGTTTCTTTCACTCAATTTTGCCCCTTCTGGCTCTAAAATGAATGAAACGCTTCCAGAGCAGGCTTCCAATGCGTCAAGCTGAAACTTTGAAACGGAGTTCCTGCCAGTTCTTTCTATGAAATCTTGAAGTTGTTTGACACTAGTTTTATTATACCGCTCTCCTGGGCTCAGTGTGAACAGGGAACCCAGGAGCTGAGTGGAGAGCAAATTTAAACCCGGGATGGGGGATGGGAGTAGGAGACTGTAGGGCTAGAACAGGGTGAGCACCACATGTGGCTTTAATATCCAACAGCTGTTAGAGATCATAACCCCTCTGCTCTTTCTGTACCCCCCACCAGAATCATATGTTTCTAAGATTATTATAACTAAAGGGACTTCGCTGCCATCTAATCTGAATAATGAAGTCAAGCTCCAAAAGAATCAAGGTTTGTTGTTTTTTGTTTTTTTTAAACTAAATGTACCTGAGTGTAGCAGACTGACTTTAATCCCCAAGCCAAAGTCTTAAAACAAAATCCCAGGTGGGGGAAGAGAAGAAAAAAAATGACACAATGCAACCGAGCAGGCCAGGGACAGGGGTAAAGAGTGAGGAAAGATGGGGTAGCAGGGATTCCCTGGACAAGAGCCTTCTCCCACTGGAGCTAACTTTTCAAACCCGCAGATCTCCAAGGCCCTGGCAAACTCATTGCGTGTCCAGGCGCGAAACAATCCCGCCGGAGGTCCACGCGCCGGCGAGCACAGCATCCGCGGGCGGGTTCGTGGTCCCGCGATGCCGGGCCCGGTGCCCCGTTCCCCCGCAGACAATGCGGCGCGCGCTTCCCGCGGCCTCTCTGGGATCCGCGCCCCGCGCCGCCCGCCGCCTCCTGCGTCGCCGCGCGGGGACACACTCACCGACACCAGGAACTCCAGCGTGCCCACATAGTCCCGCTCGGTCTTCTGGAGCTCGCTGAGCACGCACACGCGCAGGCGAAGCTGTTTCTCCAAGTCCTTGGCGCTCTCGGCGCGGCCGTCCCCGCGGTTCTCGTCGCTCATGGTGGGCGGCGGGACGCGGGGCTGCTGTGCTGCGCGCTACCCCGCGCGCCCACTGGTGCCCGGCCCCGCGCCGGCCAGAAAGGAAAGTTGCTGCCTCCGGGAAGTCTGAGGAGGTACGGGCGACTTTACATGCTGGGGAGGGGCCGGGGTGGTGGGAGAGGAGAGCGCGCCCGTTGGGACTCCGGCGCGGGAGGCGCGAGGCTCTGAGGAGGCAACTCCCGAGAGAGGGGGCCCCGGCCCGGGACCTGCACGCCCAGCCCCGCGGCTGCGGCCTCACGCGGCCCGGGCTGGAGGGGAGGCGGCTCCGGCAGCCACAGCGGTGACTTGGACATTAATCAAATGCTTTGTATCCATGTGACTCCGACCCTTTACCCTTCGCCAAGTCTCAGGAAAAAGGAAACAACCCTGGGGAAGTGTGTTGCGTGCCAGCTAACTAAACACACACACACACACACACACGCACACACACGGAGTCAGCACTTGAGATGGAACTAATTGGAGGTTCCCAAACCTAGGAGGATGTACTCCAAGACACAGCTCGGGGGTTGCTCCTATGACTCCCGCCTATTGTTAAGCTTTAATGTGTTTTGTACAAATCCTGAAAGCAAAGAAACAAGTCCCCACGGTTACATAACTGGATGGGAACAAAACAACCATGGTATTGACCCTCCCGCCTTTGAAAAGAAACGCATTGATTTTTGGTTTTGTTTAGGCACAAAATAGGTTTGCTTTTAAAAGCCCCCAACCGAGAATAATTCACAGGGCAGATACCCTCCTGCCTGCACTTGGGAAGTCAATTAGCATAATAAATGAAGACACTATGGGAAAGTGACAGGCCTGGCCCAAACAATAAACTCCAGATACAATAAGCATCACCATTGCACTGGGCTGTTTTGGAGGGATGCTTTGCATGTCTATAACTTTTTTTCAATATCAAGGTAGTATGTAAATTCAATCACAGGCAAGAATACTTGTGCCAATTTTGTTTCTAAGAGCTGCTATGATTTAACATAGTGTCACTAAATGAGCAGCTTTGTCTAAAGCTGTTACTGAATGGTTATCAAAAGATATGTAGATACAAATATAGGTATGTAGATACAGATATATTCTTTGGATTTGAAAAAAGAGAGAAGCACAGAGCATGTCCTGATTGTAATGTTTATGTTTATTGCCTTTTCTCACTTGGAAACAGAGCCAGGAGCAAATGAGCACTGAATATTTACATTTCCAAGCAAAATATTCCATATATATTTTTGTCTTGATATTATTCACATTAATTTTTCAGTGTCATTTTTTCCTACTTAGAACTTGAAACAGTCCACACCAATGACATTTAAATAAACTGAAGAGTGAATGGTTTTGATGAAAGAAAGTAGCATGTTAATTTTTTCCAATAGTTGAAAGCATTAGCAAAACTCTAAAAATTAAAGATGCTTTCCACATTACTTACATTAAAATAATTATCAGAGATATCTTTTAAGAGCATAGTTTGTGATGAATCACTATGCCCCTCAAAAAGCAATTTTCTTCTTTTATTAAGGGCACAGCTTTTGAATGTGTGAGGAGCTGATGGACAAGATATGATTTTCCTTTGTTTTGTGCATGCCTATCTACAGGTAGCTATGAGCAAAGGACAAATAAGTCAATGGCTTCACACCTTCTGGCAGAAGAACAAAGGACAAGGAACATTAAAGAGCAGACTTCACAATCCCTAGTAAACAATAAACAAAAGAAACAAGCGGAAGACAAAGGAAACGCACATCCAGCAATGAATGGGAAAATCAAACATGATTGAGCCTTTTCACAATGTACTACAGGCAGCAAGGAATGAATGCATTTCCTCCTCCTTACGTCTATACCCTCCTCTAATGTAAAAAGTAAGTAAATAAATCATGCTTTCCATCAGGTGTTCTTGTAGATAAAAAAAAAAAATCTCTTACCAATTGCTCCCAGTTTGAGAGCTGTTTATGCAATTATCCATCTATCAAAAAAAAAAAATAGTCTATATACAACCCACTAGAGCTTCAGTCTCACCTCTGAGAGCAATATATTGAGCTTGAATCTCCAGTGGGGTTTTACCTACCCAACATTTGCCTCCATTCTACAAACGTGTATTGAGTACCTCTATGTGTACTGCATGGCCCTACGGCCTGAGGACCACAGAGACTTGATCTCTAGGCAAATATTTCTGAAGGTATTTCACAGACCATTACGCTGAGGTCTTGTTAAACATTTCTGGGCCTCATCCTAAATTTGTTGAATGCGAATCTCAGAGATGCAAGCCCTAAACTCTTTAGACAAGGTTTTCAGATTATTCTTAGGCCCACTAATATTTGAGAGCCCACCATTCTAAGAAATTATAATTGAGTGGAAGAGAGTGTCATAAATATAAGTAATTCTATTAAAAGGAAACTGCAAGGCATGCTTTGAAAAAAAAAAGGTGCAAGGACGTTAACAGAAAATAGGTAAGTGTGCACATTCAGATGTCTCTCAGAAGTGCCCATGTAGAAATTATTATGATAGTAACAGTTTCTGCCCATTCTTGTGTTCCTCGGTGTATAATTCCTCAGCACCATTTATAATTAATGAACAGCTTCAGAACACCATGTAGTGGCTTCTGCCAGGCACCTATCAGTGTCTTCTGTAACCCTGGCAGGAGTTCTTAATTCCTTATCAAAGACATAAGAGCATAAGAAAACAGGGCCAGAGTATCTGGAAACCTTCACTTTGATGGTACATAAGGTCTTCCATAAATTCTCAATGTGTTGTATCCTTCCCCACTTCCTCTATTGAAACTTTAAGCTCTGTCTGCCAGGAAAAGGAAAGCAACAACAAAAATGATGGACAGGATCCAGTTTTTTCCTGAAATACTAATGAGGTTGAAGCATCTAATAAAGAAGAGATGGGAGAAAAGAAGATAGTGAGAAAAGGCTGAGTAGTAAACTAGCTCAGCCATTAAATTTATTTCATATGCATGAACTTGGTATGGTTAGAATCATTATTATACAGTTCAAAGAGTACAATGCACAGTAGGTTTTCTTTGGTCAGGCTTAGAGAAGAACAACGCCTGGACAAAAGAACCCAAGGTAGTCTCTTTACAAAAGAGAGCTCCCAGCTTGTATTTCTGACAGAGATCAGTTTGGCTTCCCTGACATTCCAGTAGTAGTGTTTGCCCAGGTAAAGTAATAAATCAAATTTGATGTGGAAATCATTAAAAGACAATAGCACTGGGGGAAAAAAAAGAAAGATCACATCATTGCATGGCCATCTTGTTAAACAGAGAATTCTAAGAGTCAGACTTTTTTATTTTCAAGTAAAATTGATTCTGGCATATTTCCTTTACTACTCTGGCCTATGATAGATGATTCTAGACTATACTAGTATAAAAATATAGATACACCGGATCTATATAAAGTACAATTAAGAATCTCGCACAAGAAATAATTCTAAAAATACTTATTACTTTAGTTCTGTTTTAGTTATAACAAGCATGGGGTGTACTAGAGTATGTAATTATTTGTATCATACCAACTTAAGGATTTTAGAATGTGCATTACCTAAAAGGACAAAATATAGTTTCATAGCCATTTTTTAATTTTGGATACAATGTTCGTGGCACAGCAAACTAAATAAATGTTTGAATAGGATTACTTTAGGAAGACTCTAAAGTTCTTAAAAATGTGGTCCTTTCCACACTAGCTTGATCAACCCCAAATCATCCTCATGGCCATAATCTAACATGTAATGGATAATCACTTTCCTCATTATGGAAATTTAACCTACAACCATGCCTGTAAAATAACAGCCAATTTTTGTCTATGATTAGTCTCAGAAGGATATCATCCTTGCATTGTACCATCTCCCTGCTTAGCCTTTCCTTCCTTTAAAAATTGTCTCCAACTCACATAACTCAAGCTACACCTTATTTCTCTCCTCCCCATAAAAACTTCTACCTGGTTGTCTTGTCTCCTCTATTAACACCCTCTACTGTGTCCTCCAAGGTTATCATTCTAATATATATAAATGTATGTGTGATATGTAATATATTATATATAATATTTTATTATTATCAATATCTATATATAATTTATAAAAATTATATATATTTCATGTCATTGCCTGTGTGTCTTATCCTGGCTTCCTCAAAAAGTAGAGAGTGAGACAATAGCTAATGTGAAGATAGTATATATGGTAATGTTATCCTAGGGGTTAGGAGTGAGGAAAGGAAGAGTGAAACAGAGAAAGAGGGAAAACCAATACAAGAATACATAATAGAGTTGACCATTCCAGTGGGAAACTAGATGCTCTGTTCTACAGGACCTTCTGAGTAGTCTTATGAAATACATCTCAGAGCTATCCTGGGGGAAGAGACAGGGAAGCATTTATTCATTATTTCCTATTCCCACTTGGTCAAGGATAGCTCCATAAGGCATTCATAGGACCCTGTACTTGCATGTTGCCCATGCATGAATGCTTAGAGGTGTTCACAGATAAGATTGGAGTCAGGAAGCAAGAAGGGTGAGACACTCTTAGATTGTTCCTGTATGAAGTTGGTGAGAACATTTGAGGAACCGCATCCATGGTCATCAAGAATAAGAGAAGAGGTCAAGAGAGTTTTTCCTGGAGTACAAGAGGGATTTGATTCTGCTTCAGACCCCTCAGGATAAAGGCAAATGTCATTTATGACCCAGCCTCTCTGGCTTTATTTCATACCACTCGCTCCTTTGCAAACGAACCCCAGCCACGCAGGAGTACTTTCAGATTTCTTACAATGCCAAGCTCCATAGCATAGTCCTTTTTCCTTATCATAGCATCAGTTACATTTATTATAATTGCCAGATCAATTGATGGAATTCTTTACTGGACCACAGTATCTTGAAGGAAGAGACCATGTCGCCCACAGCTTCTCCAGAATCTGGCATGCAGTCTTGTTAAATGGATATTTGTTGATTGAGTGAATGAATGAATGAATGAATGAATTACACTGGAACTCTAATCCATTCTATCGCTAAACAAAAATAAGTCTTTCTTTAGACTTGGCTTTTTGTTTCTCCTCTAACATTTCTTCATTAGAAGGCAAGATAAATACCCTTTTATTTTCTCAGAGAAAAATGGTGTATATGTAAATAACTGTCCTGTGAATTGTGAGCCTGTTTAGGGGACAAGAAGAAACTACAAATATTATATTTCTTGTATGCTTAAAGAAGTATCCTTCATCTCTCCTGAAATGTGACAATCACATAATCAAATCCATACACACTATTCCTAAAACAGTCATGGAAAACTGAAAGAAATACATGATAATAAATTCAGGAAAGAAATCACATTACCAAAGCATGGAAGTAAGTTTACTAAAAACAGATATATAATGTATCAGGCTGGAGAGTTCCTATAAACCCCTTATATTCCACCTCCCCAACTCAGATTCTTTTGTTAACATCTTGCATTAGGGTGGTACATTTGTTACAGTTAATCAGCCAATATGTATACATCATTATTAATAAAAGTCTATAGTTTACATTAGGACCCACTCCTTGTGTTGCACATTCTATGTGTTTTAAGAAACGTATGACATAGGGGCGCCTGGGTGGCTTAGTCGGTTAAGCATCCAGCTCTTGATTTCAGCTCAGGTCATGATCTCAGGGTCTGGAGATCAAGCCCTGCGTCGGGCTCTTGCTCAGAGGGGAGTCTGCTTCTCTGCCGGTCTCTCTCTCTGCCCCTCCCCCCATGCTCTCTTGCTCGCTCGCTCTCTCTCTCTAAAATAAATAAGTAAATCTTTAAAAAATATATATATATCGACCATTACAGTATCACAAAATAGTTTCTAAAAGTGCCCAGCACACTACATATTTACCCCTCTCTCCCTTCCCCCAACACCCTGGCAATCACTGATCTTTTTCTGTCTCTGTAGTTTTGTCTTTTACAGAATGACATGTAGTTGGAATCATATATTATGTACATTTTCAAACAGGTTGCTTCCACTTAGCAATCTGATTTAAGTTTCCTCCATGTCTTTTCATGGCTTGATAGCATATTTCTTTTTATCACTGAATAAAATTCCATTATCAGGATGTACTAGTTTATCAACTTACCTGTTGAAGGACATCTTGAATGCTTCCAAGTTTTGACAATTAAAATAAAGCTGCTATAAACATTATTGTGCAGGTTTTATATGGACATAAGAGTTCAACTCCTTTGAGTAAATACCAAGGTGTATGATTGCTGGATCATAAGATGAGAATATATTTCTGCCAAACTGTTTCGAAGAGACTATTATTTTTATTTCCCATCAGCCGTGAATGAGAATTCCTATTGCTCCACATCCTTGCCAACCTTTGGTGGTATCAGGATTTTGGATTTTGGCCATTGTAATTGTTATGTAGTAGCATCCTATTGTTGTTTTATTTTATAATTCCCTAGTGACGTACAAGGCTGAACATCTTTTCATATGCTTACTTGCCATCTGTATATCCTCTTTCATAATGTGTCTGTTAAGGTCTTTGGCCCATTTTTTAATTAGGTTGTTTTCTTATTATTGAGCTTTAAGAGCTATTTGTATATTTTGTACAATAGTCCTTTATCAGATGTGTCTTTTGCAAATTTTTTCTCCCAGTCTGTGGCTCGTCTTTTTATTCTTTTGACATTGTCTTTTGGCAGAGAAGAAGGCTTTGATTTTAATGAAGTCCAGCCTATCAAGTTTTTCTTTCATAGGTCACATTTTGGCACTCTATCTAAAAATGTTTGGATTTATCATTGTCAAACCCAAAGTCGCCCAGATTTTCTCTTAGGTTGTCTTCTCAGAGGTTTAGTTTTGCATTTTACATTTAAGTCTATGATCCATGAATTAATATTTGTGAGTAAGGTCTACGTCTAGATT